TTTTCTAATGCCAGTCCACGAGAAAACCGCCTCTGGCTTGTCTTATTCTATATTGCCAGTCCACGAGAAAACCGCCTTTGGCTTGTCTTATTCTCTATTGCCAGTCCACGAGGAAACCGCCTCTGGCTTGTCTTATTTTCTATTGCCAGTCCACGAGAAAACCGCCTCTGGCTTGTCTTATTCTTTATTGTAAGATACTTTTATTACGTCATATGCTTTATGTATATATATATAATGTATATTATATGCTCCACATTATCTATATTTATATCAAAATATTTTTTTAAGAAATTGACATCATTTTGTATACTCTTTTTACAATAAATGTATATGATATATGCCATATTTTTTATTTCTAAAGCATGAAATATAAAGATATTTTTATTTTTTTGTGTCTATCATTTGTATAAAAATCTTGATAAAAGAAACAACATTAATTTTGCGACTTGCAATAATCTGTTTCATTATATGCTTCTTTTAAATACTTACAATTAGCCTTATTTTATGTGATTAACTTGGTATTTAAAATACGTATCAAAATCGAAAATGTATTTCTATTACAGTAGAAAAGAAACATTCTTGTCTTACAACAGAGAGAAATGGCAAAATATAATATTGTCTAAAGTACAGTCCAATAAAAACGGTTAAAATTGAACATTTTATTAAAAACCACTGTGATTCATGAAAAATCAGAATTATTTTTCAAAAATATAGACATATTTCGACTGTGTGTTTTTAAACTGCCACTACACATTCAAAAATTCACAGAATAAATTTATTTCTGCAAAGTTGTGTATAATGTTTAGTAGGAAAAGTAGATTTATTTGTTATTACATATACATGATATTTTACCATTCCTCTCTGGTGTAAGACTACAATGTTTTTTTTTTACTGAACTAGAAATTAATTTTATATTTTGATGTGTATTTTAGATACCAAGGTAAACACATAAAATAAGGCTAGTTGTAAGTATTTAAAAGAAGTATATATTGAAACAGATAATTGCAAGTCACAAAATTAATGTTTTTTTTATCAAGATTTTTTTACAAATGATGCATACAAGAAACTAAAAATACCTTTATATTTCATGCTTTATAAATAAGTTATATGACATATACATTTATTATAAAAATATATACAATATACAAAATGATATTAACTTTTTACATAGATACTTTGATGTGAATATACATAATATGGAGCACATAATATACATAATATATACATATAAAGCACATGAATAAAAGTATTTTGTAGAAATTAGAATATGAATGTATGTAATTAAATAATATAAATGTTTGCAAAAATGTTGCAAAATTTATGTATAATACATACACTTTTTTATCCTTCAGAGTGCCTTCAACTCATTTTTTTCAGCCGGGTTTCGTAGCACATAACACAAACACACACACACGCACAACTAACACACACATAACTAACCTAAAAGATTCTGTATATGACAAATAGCACTGAGAACTGTATAGCGCCTCTATCCCAAAATCTCGGAACTAATCTATAGCTCTTTTTTACCTTATTCTTTCTATATTGCACACATGCTTTACATAAATCTGGAAAAGGGTGGCGTTTTGAAAATAAGTCTCTAAGCTCTATTTTTTTGGTTTTCCATTATTGTTTCATACGCTCTTCTTCGGCACATGGTCTTGTTTTGCAGATTGAAGCAGTATAATTTTGATATAAAAGATATAATTCTTTGAGGTGACATTGTCGGTAAATTTTCAAAAATTTTTTTTATTTTTGGTTTAAATTTGACCAACTGCCGAAAGATTAGCATATGTACTTTATTTACACCAAAGGATTTGTAATTCTATTAAAGCAATAAAAAACGCCACCTTTTTTAGAAAATTGAAGTTTTGGTCGGTAACAATATGACTTCAGCATCCTCTTAAGTCTTTGACAATAATCACAATCTTGCTTTTGATTAGTCTAGAAATAAGTATGATTGATCATTCGAATCAATCACTGCTGATGAATATAACTCAATGAAAAATGTACACGAATAGTTCATTACTGATATCATGCATTTTACATTTGGTATGTCCACTAGTCATTTTCGTCTATTAAGATTTTGCATCAAGAAAAAATTTTTTTTTCTTCAAGTATTTCTTTTTAATTATATCGATTATACTCGCGCACGTCACAGTCTATCGTTCTGATTGTCGCAGTATATATTACAGAAATTATAGAAAATGGAAACGAACATACCTTTGACGGGGACGTTGCCGCCATTGTCGTTAAACCGCTCTGCCATAAAAAAACATAACCGCGGTTTATCGCGGCTCGTTTATTATTCGCGTATAGCCGCGTACTTTCTTCGAGAAAGATGTGTCCGTCTCAAACAGGTGTCTCACATTTTTCCATGATATCACGTCTTGTGCTCACAACCAGGGCGATAGAACGGCTTGGTAACAACGATGAGGGTTTTGTAGTCGCTCGAAATCTGACAGCGTTGACAACTGCTTTCGCGCAGCACGGCGAGTGATTGCGAGCAGTCGCGATGTGTAAAGCTGTGCAAAGCCTATGATTCACACATACATACTTATGTACGCACACATACACAATATATGATGTATCACAATGATCTTCTATAATGATGAGATATAATGCACCGCTAATGAACGACTTTCACACACATCTCGATGTAAGAACATAACCTTGATACATGAAAACAAAGTGTTTAGAAAAAATTAATCAAAAGAGAACAAATTATGTAAATAAAATGATCCCATGCAATGAATTGATCCTCAATTTTCCTTATGCGTTAATAAACAATATATAATAATATGTTTAAGAATTTCTCTAATGTTTTATGCTTTCCGCAAGGCAAAAACAAAGAAAAATCGGCGTTCGTAAACACTGAAGTGTGCAGAAGTGTGCATAAAAGAAACTTCAGCATGCAGCAAATAGCATTTAGTGTATTGTGCTTTGTTGACATTGGTACCTCTGGAGCAAGATGCGTTTCTAATATCGGATGACGTAATTCTAGAACTTCTAGAAACAGCAGCGCTGTTTTCTCGAGATGCAGCAGCGTAACATACTCATAGTTAGTTCATGGTCGTAGCCAAAAAATATTTTTACGGATGACGTTGATACGGTAACGTCGTCGGAAAAACGTTGCGTTACGGTTATAATTATAATCATTGCGACTGACGCGTTCTGACGGATTCTGTGTATACAGAGCCTTCCGACGGACGGATTGTGCAATGGAGAATATATTCCACGAGAAGGTAAACATGCGCCGTTGCGATAATTGGCGTCTCCGCGGAAGATAATTGTATTCATGCTAGCAATGTTTTACAGCAAGAGGGATACCTGTGCGCTCAGCATTGCTTGAACGCACTTTTACAAGGACCCTACTTCAACGCTGTCGATCTGGCGAATTTCGGTCACCAAATGGATGAGGAGGAGAGAATACGCATGGCGGAATCGGGCGTAGACAGCGAAGATTACAAACTCTTCCTGGAGGTAAACATGACGTCACGTGCTTTTCAATATCTCGTTTAAAGTACTCGATAATAAAAAAGTGATGCAGGTATTATAAAAAATTTTGTTTATTGAAATTTATGTAGATACAAATGCATAGCTTTACTATTATCTTTACCAGGCAAATGTGTTTGTAACAACTAACTGCTTGTTATGTTTAGCAACCATCGGGCAACATGGACGACAGTGGATACTTCTCAGTTCAAGTTATTAGCAGTGCTTTAAAAGTTTGGGGTTTAGAACTGGTTCCATACAATTCCAGCACGGAACCAACGGCTTTACTGGCACAAAATGATCCTTCGTAGGTTATTGTTAATTCGTTTACATCGGAGATGTACTTATATATTGTTTCGAGATATTTTGTTCTATTGCACCAGCAAAAAAAGTCACTCTTTAAATATTTTTTCAACAATGATATAACAAATTATGATATATAATGATATAACAAATTATGAATTAACAGAATAACAGTATTTTTACACTGAGGCGTATTGTTAAAAAAATCTTAAATATTTCAATTTACAATATTTTTATAAAATAATACATGTGGTGTCATTTTCAGGCGGATGAGAGCATATATTTGTAATTATAAAGGGCATTGGTTTACAATAAGAAAGCTCGGAAATCAATGGTTTAATTTAAATTCAATGCTCAATGGACCGCAGCTTATATCGGATACTTATCTCGCAATGTATTTAGCTCAATTATTACAGGAAGGTAAATACAAACTAAAGTATTAATCATATAACACTTAAGTTACGTCTAACTTAATTTAATCTAATCTGATCTAATCTAATCTAATCTTCTTTATAGGTTACTCTATTTTTATCGTTATTGGTACATTTCCACAATGTCCTGCTGAAGATATTCTTCTGAAAAATCCTATAGTTGCAACGAAAAGTAATCTGAATAGCGATGATTCAAAGACCTCACCCAAAGGTTATCGCTTAGGTACCAAAGCAGAAGATGATATCTTCAAAGCTGCGCTTGCAATGGGAGAAATAGAAGTCCCACAGTCCTGTCTTATGACCAGAAGTGCATCCACATTATCACATAAATCTGAGTCATCTACAAACAAACCTCGCGAAAGGATAATTCCCATAGAAATTGAGAGTAGAGAAGAGGATAGCGATGAGGAGGAGGATGAAAAAATGCAATTAGCAAGAGCTTTACAAATGAGTTTGCAAAATGATGAGGAGGATGTAAACAAGACCTTAAACTTGAGATTAGACCTTCATACAGACGATAGTACGCATTTACCGAGTTCGGCAGATAACGCGTTAAACGACGAGGATGACGAACTGAGACGAGCGTTGCAATTGAGTCTTGAATGTGTGACTGCCCCACCAACACCTGATCCAGAAGATCTACGCTGGCGTCGACTGAATCATTTTAATATGTACACGAGAACGCCCAACAACGAAGCCCCCGCGAAACTAAATACTTAACAATAAGCACAAACTTTTTATGTTAAACTCGACGCTGCATTGTAAATTATATAATAGTTTAAGCTCGGAAAAAGTATGTCATTTTGTATACTAATGTTATAACGATAAGAAAGGCATCTTATTGTAAATGAAATTGACTAAAGGTATATTTCTGGTTTCTCGAGGCTGTATGTAGCTCTCGTTACTGTGTCTCTTTTTCTCTCAACTTTGTTATACTAATCGTTCTCTAAATAAAAACGTTTGAACAAGGAACTTATAATTGTCAATTCTGATCTTAAGAATCAGGGTTTAAGCAACGTAGCAATAAATATTTTATCAGCATAAACGGAATTGATAATTTTTCAAATTTTTCATACTGCAAACAATATAGGATATCCGGCAACATAAAAACCGGAACAGCTGGTTGCTGACAGAAAAGGAAGTTAATTTCCGATTGTTAAAGGCTTATTTTCATCGCGGTACGATGAAAAACGGGATATGAACAGCGCGCGCAGCAGCGTTACAATCGCTCGTGCTGGATGTATGCGAACGCTGAATGTTGACATTCAACATGGCGGCATGTCGTCAGTGCTGTGCTGTGTCGTGGTGAGTCTCGTAAAACCTTTTAACGCCGTATAATTGCGAGCTTTGTGTAGAAACGTATATTATTCGGATCAGCGTGATCCTCGCTGGCGATTATTTATTAATTCGACGGCGCGAACGGGCCGACGAGAAGGCATGCCATAGTCCGCGGCACGGCTACGAGATAAGGCGCCTCGCGACCTCATAAAAAAATCAGAACTTTGTAAAACTGCGACAAGCACGCATGATAATGCTCGGCCTGCTGCCGCTTCGAAGTGCGAAATATTTTCAAAATAAGAATAAGTGGATTCGAGCGCGCTCGATTGTCGCCAACGATCTACGAGAATTGAGTCTTGTCCCGCATGCTCTACACCGCAATCGTTATTCCTTTTCGAATTTTACGTGGATGTTTCGCATAATCGTGTCCGGTAATATTAACCGATAGCACACGAGGATCGGTGGAGACAGTAATGTGAGTCTGAGAATCGTGATCATCATTCACGTACTCGTGAAACGTGCTGCGACACCATGCAACGTCGCGTTAGACGCAATTTTCAGCGATCATGTGGTCAATGCGTAATGATAAAACAGCACATTTCTCGCAGTACACCGAGTCAATGTCAAATTATCAGATAATTGGGAAGAAGCGCGTTTGTACCGCTGTAGAGCGCTGTAAATAAACGCGTAATCACTTTACTTTGATTATTTCTTAGAGGGTACCGGAAATTCTTTATTTTTCTGAGAAAGATCTAGAAATATAATAACCTATATATAATATATTCAGTTATCCACGTTTCAAAAATCTAAACTTTTTTCATGTATTTTTAGGAATTTTAAATTTTTGTTGCTAAAGGATTGTTATAAGATTTATATATATATTGACTGGAGAATATTATTATATAAATATTATTTTCCTGTGTTAATATTTTTACAGTATGCACACGCAATGTACAGTGAATTATTTCTCTTTTCTTACTTCTATGTGCACTTCTTGCTTTATTTTCATTAATATTGATTACAAAATTTATTTTTCTTTTTTGTATATCACATAAATTAAATGTAATTAATAGTTAAACATTTTTTAAACATTTAATTTGGATTTAATTTAATGTTAATTCCAAAATGTTATGTGGTTTATGATTAATAATGTATATTTTAATACTTGAATGTACACAAAGCTCGCAATCTTTAAATAATAAATATTATACTTAGAATTTTCTATATATTCAAAACAATTTTTTAACTTTTGTAATTTATCTTTTTTCTTTACAGCTTGTGTCATTGTTAGTTTAGGACACTTCTGAAACCAAGGCTCACTGTAAATTTTACATTTAAAAGCTGAAGAAGGAAACGCTACTATAGAAATATTGGAAGAACACAATCAGACTCAGCACGCATTGAAGACATCTGAGGATTTACAAGTCAACATTTATCCTTTAAATCTCCTATGTTTTTGATTTACTCCTTTTATAAAGGATAACTGATGTTTAAAAAGAAACACAGTTGTTCTAGTGTATGCTAAATTGAGTATTTATCAAACAGTTGTTATTCAATCATATACGTATGGAAAGTATTGACATATATGGTGTGCTAAGATTTTGTACTTGTATTAAGTCATAAATCAGCATTAACTGCATCGTTCATTTGTATATTGTGTACACAAGCCTTGTGAGCAAGAGATAGGTGAGCCAATACAGTGACCGTGATTGTGATTGCGGCTGAGATTGTGCTGCTCCGCTTGGTTGATAGAACATCTTTATCTGCGTTTAAGGAGTGCCAAGTTCGTGTCGAGCTACTGTGGTACTCTCCAATATATATAATTCACGACACACGCGTTAAAAATACTTTGAAAAGACCTCATTTACACTTCCTGGTCACAAAGAAGCCTGCATTTCTGCGGCATTTGAAGGAGCCACTCTTCCTCTTCATTAAGTTCTTGTAACATTATAATAGTGAACAAAGATATAAGGTACCAAGAACCGTTCTGTGATATCTATGTTAACACTTAAATAATTGAAAAAGACTAAAAATTTCTAAATATAAGTATATATATTGTGGTGAAACAGAAGAAGTGTGAACATAAGGGAATTAAGTAATTGTTTCAAGAGAGAAGAAGAGCTAAATTATACGTAAATATTACACATAACACTGCGCAAATTGAGACAATGTCCAACAATCCTCAGTGGAAAACGTTCCAGCCGCCAATCATGAACTCTGACCCAGCAATACTTGACTATAAGTCTATGGCTATACCAAGTCCTAAAGCCATAACGGGATCTCATCAGCCAACGACTAATAATTACCGAAATGGTACAAATTACAGCGGTGATCACTATATGGGTTCACCTCCGGGATGTAATAAAAATTCTACTACTAATTATGGAAGTTATCCTGGCGCACAATCGTCACCACGCAATGGCGCCACGAGATATCCATTCGAATTCACATCCATGGAAACAAATGCTGGTTACACTAATGAACCTGCCACTAATAACTCTACCTACCAGGATCAGTCTGCGAATCAAGGAACACGAGAAACTGGAATAATCGAAAAGTTACTGGTAAGTATCATTGTATTATGATTGTACCTGTAATCACTTGTATGCAATACACAAAAGACTAAATTTTACATATTTTAATTTTCTTGTTTGACAGCATTCTTATGGATTCATACAGTGTTGTGAAAGGCAGGCAAGACTGTTTTTTCATTTTAGCCAATTTAGTGGTACAATTGAGCATTTGAAGATTGGAGATCCAGTGGAATTTGAAATGACTTACGATCGGCGAACAGGCAAGCCTATCGCAAGTACTGTTAGCAAGATCGCTCCAGTGGTTAGTAAAATGATAATGATAGTATGAGTAACACACACAAAAATTTGTGATAAACATAGAAATATGTGGATATATTTTTTTCAGGCATTGGGTGATCAACGATGCATCGGTAATGTAACAACAGAATTACAAGCAAGTGGTGATTCACAAGGACGTATCAGTTATGAAAATCGAGGGGAATGTTTTTTTTTGCCATATACCAAAGATGATGTTGAAGGAAACGTCACTTTGCGCGCTGGTGATAAAGTATCATTTCAAATTGCTACGAATCAACGGTACGATATATTTATAGCTCAGTGCGGTTAGTTAATAAAGATAAAATTATGTAAACAATAATTTCTCATACACACACATTCTAGAGGAAATTTGGGTGCGTGTAACGTAAGGCTGGAAAATCCAGCTCATCCAGTACGTTATCGCGGAGTGGTATGCTCAATGAAAGAAAATTTCGGTTTTATCGAGCGTGCCGATGTAGTCAAAGAGATATTCTTCCACTTTAGCGAGGCTAAGTCTATGAAAGAAGAGCTTAGGCTAGGAGATGATGTGGAGTTTATAATACAGACACGCAACGTAAGTAAAATCAAAATTAAATGTCTTAAAAAATTTATTTATGTGCACACGTGCACCAACACGTGTGCACATACGATAACAAAATTTACATAACAGAAAATAAGATCGGATGCTTTGCTGTTGCAGGGAAAGGAAGTAGCTTGCAACATTACAAAGTTACCACCTGGCTCAATTGTATTTGAGGAAGTCAGTAACGAAGTGGTAAAGGGGCAAGTGTTGAAACCTTTGGAGAGAGGTACTGCTGCTCGTCATCAGAGTGATCCATTACCTGGGCGTATTCGTTACAGGGATAGTGATCATTCTGAAGTTGAAGTACCTTTTGGAGATAAAGATCAGAAAGGAGATTTTACTCTCAGGTATATATGAATTAGCAAAATATACAGTTTCCTTGTTTATAAATTTATTTGTCTAACACATTTTTTTAAATGTTTTATACTCAAATGACGCAATTTGACTTAACAGGCATGGAGACTGGGTTCAATTTCGTATCGCAACGGATACACGAGATCAACTTAAAAGAGCAACAGAGATAATGTTACTACCAGAATCTTTCACTGTATCTGGAGAAAAACGAGAGCAAGGTACTATACATTCTCTCAAAGATGGATTTGGCTTTATTCGTTGCGTAGAACGAGAACCCAGAGTTTTCTTTCACTTTAACGAAGTTCTTGATGTTGAAAGAGAAATTAGTGTAGGGGATGAAATTGAATTTACAGTCATACAAGTGAGTATATGTTACTATAATAATAATAATATTATTTATAATAATATTTATTTATTTTTCTTCTAACTACAATTTTTTTTTTTTTTTTTTTTTTTTT